AGCAACAATACAAATATCCTTTTTTCCCAAGGGATTGTATATTATGGTCATTGTTCTGTCCTTACTGTTAAATCTCAGGGGCTACAGACCTAGGAGTGAAGGCCTTCAACCACTAAAATTCCCTTAGGAGACCATTGGAGTGGTATTTTCTCCCATTAGTTGGCTACAGGGTTCCCTGAATAGTGATATTTCCCTGAAGGGAAAAGGGCCTGGTCTTCCAGCTTTCCAGCAACAAAGCAACAAATTCCACAAATCCAACTTAGGAACTCTTGCTTAATATGCTGCTAGAGTTAGAATTTCCAGGTCAAGCTGAGATTTATGGTCTTTCCAAGTCACAGTGATTCAGAGGTGGGGCCTTGAAGGGCAGAGGCCGGGCCTGTGGCTTTCCCTTGGGGCACCTCCACCACTCCATGCTAGGGCATTAGGGTAACTGGGAGTCCTCCTTGAACAGAAAACCTTGTTATCCCTGAGAGTCAAAGCGTTTGAACCTCCCACTAATCCACTCCTGCTTCCCGAACACATTCAGACAGGCAAAGTCGATGCTGTAGAATCTGAAAGATAAGGCTTCTGACATTTGCAGGTCAATAGAGAGATTTGCTAAAGCCATCTAGATTTATCTTCTGTCCAGTCAACTCAACCAAACTGGAGGCACCTAAGCAGCTCTTTTTGCTTGTGTTCTTCTTTGAGAGGGGCCCTGTCTTCGGGGAGGGGTACACAGAAGGGAAGAACAGAAAGGCAAAAGCAGATTGGAGAGTTTGTATCTGGTTTGTTAGTACTCCCTTCCAGGAACCCCAGAGAACTGGTCTCCATTGCACTCCAGAGCTTCCAGGGGTAGGAGTAGGAAGCCCCCCTCCACCCTCCCAGGCCATCGTTAAGCTCCCTTCCCGAGTCACGGGGTCTGACGACCATGCCACTGAACCATCCAGGGCACGGTTAATGCCTGGCATGTTTTGAATCCCTGACTTCATGTGCTTCTAATAGTTCCCACGACAGTTTACTTTTCCATTCTGTTTCCGGAGGCCGCCTGGCCGGCCAGTGTCTTCCGCTGACCTTTAAAGTTAGCGCTGCTTTCAGATGCTGGGCTTTTCTTCTTTTGTTTAAATAGCAACGAAACCAACAAAATTTTTTCAAATCGGGTTTCCAGAGTTAAGAAACTGTAGAGAAAAAAATTATATTATATATGCATCTGGATATATATATTTTTTCCTCTTCTGGATTAAAACTGGGCAGATGGGGTGAACCTCAAAAGGTGAAGTGCGTGCGGTTCCCTGCCTCAGGTCCCCAAGACACAGTCATGTGTGGATGCAGACCCTTCCCTCCAATTTATCCCGACAGCTAGCGCTGCTTTTCCTGGCCATTGTCCCATGTCCCTGATGCTTCCTCCTCCACCGTCCCCTTCCTCCTCGGGCACCTCGCCCGCTTCCTCCCGCCAGCCGCAACCAGATTCGCTGGGGTCGGGACGCTGCCAGGACGCCCTCCAACATCCCGCGTTCCCGGCGCAGGTGCGCCCCCCCTCGCTCCGCCCTTTCCCAAGGCCCCGCCCCCGCGCTCTCGTCACAGTGACGCGCACCCCGCGCAGGCGCAGCTCGGCACCCACTCCCTCCCGCGGCCGGCCGCCC